GATCTGTCTTCTGGGTCCCACCACCATTCCCCTGGGTCTGAGCCGCCTTCTTCTTCTTCTTCTTCTTCTTCTTCTTCTTCTTCTTCTTCTTCTTCTTCTTCTGTTCTTGCTGCTGCTGCTGCTGCTTTGGCTTCCCTAAGGAGTTCCTCAGCTGGGCCTCCCGCCACTCTTTGTCATCCAACCAATCCCTGACAACCCGTAACAGCTTTGTGGTTTAAGGGATTTGGTTTAAGTTGTGGTTTAAGGGATTTGTGGCTTCAGGTGAGCGAAGCCATGAGTCACCTTCTGCTCCCTTTGACAAATGGGGAATTAATTTGAATTTGTTACTGAGGACTCCCAATGAGAAAAAGCCACAATTCAGTGACAGAGCACCAGCTTTTCCCTCAGAAGCTCCCAGGTTGAATCCCCAATGCTTTCAGGAAAGTCTGTGGAAAACTTCTGTCCCAAAGCCTGATGACCCACAGCCACTCACTTTAGCTATCTGGTATAAGGCAACTTCCTGTGTTCCTATTTAAATCAGACCTTTCCTTAGAATGTATGAGGACTGGAATCTTATTTTAGGACTCAGCTCTAGAGATTTTCATATGGAAGGTCCCAGGTCCGGTCCCTTGACATGTTCAGTTAAAAGCATCTAAGAATGATTTATAAATTCTAGAGAGCCTCTGCCAGTCAGTGTGGGCAATCCTTAGCTAGATAGGTAGACCAAAGGTTTGACTCAGTATAAGCAGAACTTTTTTCAGAAGGAATTCACCAGGACTCAGTTCCTGCCACTGTCAGGTGGGTGCCAGTGCCTTACCTTGGGCTAAGAACTTAATTCATTCTGGAGGTCCATTCTTAACCTGAAACTGTTCTTAACCAGAGGTACAACTTTAGCTTATGGGGCCTCCCACTGCCGCTGCGCCGCTGTTGTGTGATTTCTGTTCTCAACCTGAAGCAAAGTTCTTAACCTGAGGTTCTATTTCTGGGTTAGTGGAGTCTGTAACCTGAAGCGTCTGTAACCCAAGGTACCACTGTTTAAGAGAACTTCATTCATTGAGAGCTCTGACACCTTTTTTCTAGAAAAATAGCACTGAGTAAATACAGTGGTACCTCGGAACTTTGCTGCAGGATGAGAACAGAAATCACGCGTCAGCAGTGCGCCAACAGCGGGAGGCCCCATTAGCTAAAGTTTCAGGTTAAGAACGGACCTCCAGAACGAATTAAGTTCTTAACCCGAGGTACCACTGTATAAGGCATCTTGCTAGGTAAGGACTACATGGTTTAAGGGAGCAGGATCCCTGAGATGGTTGGTGGGTTCCAGCCAAGGAGAGACCTGGGTTGAAATTCCTTTTTTCAAATGGGCCATTCATTGGGTGGCATGGGGTGGAGTGTTGGTGTTCTGAATCTTAGGAAATTGAATTGGTAGGGCTGTGCAGTGGGAGACCTGGGAAGCAGAGCTCGCTCCATCAGTTCTGCTGTGACAGGCCGGATCCAACAGGCCTTCTCCTCTCATCTCAGCTATCTCCTGGGGACAGACATTCCATTAGGCTGCCTCTGCGGGAGAGATAGGAAGCAGGGCTGATTTCATCAGCTTTGCTGAAGGCCCAGCTCCACCAGGCACCTCCTGCCCCTGAACTGTGCCAGCATTTGGTCATTATAGGAGCAACTGTTTAGAAACTGGTTTCTGAGTTTTGTTTTCCTCTTCCCTCCCAGTTCCCTCTCCCTTGTGTGATGTGTTTTATTTTTAATTTTTGTTTAGATGGTAATCCTACGGGTAGGGACTGTCTTGTTTTGATTGTATGTAAGCTGCTCTGGGAACATTTTTGGCTGAAGAGCAGGGTACAAATGCCTTAAATAAATATAATCATGATAGCAATAGCAACAATATGGCCAAAGTATGAAAGGAATCTGGCTGGTGACCACAAGATTCAATCCTGCGGGCTGCAAGACTGCTTTGCCAGCATGTTCCTTGCAAGGAATGCCCTGGCAAAACAGCACCCTGCGTTTGTAATAAAATTCAGATGAATTTTCATGAGGCCTAGCAATCATAATCTTAATTGCAAACTGATGTGCAAATTGCAGAACTGAACATAAATTGGGGAACATGAGAAACCCAGAATAAACTCAGGGCTTCACTCAGCACTAGTTTTGACTCCATTGCTTGAGCCAGATGGATACATTTTTGGCCGAATATACCGTATTGGCCCGAATATAAGCCACACTTTTTTTCCAAGTTCCGACCGTGAAAAGTTGAAGTGGGGCTTATATTCGAGCCAATACTGTATTCTCTGAAGGAATTTGCTGAGCATGTTGCATCTTCCACTCCTTCCTGCTAATAGCTTTTGCAACAATGTAATAATGGACCGGTTTATTACTGTGGGAGCCCTACAATTTGTTCAGATGCTTAATAGGAAACTCTGTATCCCAACCTGTTCCAACTACTCCAGTTGGTTGATTTTACACTGTTCCACTGAAAAGGTGAAGGATCCAGGGGAAAAGATCTTCCTTTGCACTAAGAATGGGGAACGTCAGGCCCAGAGGAGGAAGAAGTGGCCTTCCAGGTTTCTCTGCATGGCCCTCAAAACCCTCTCTGGGCCACCCACCCACACCCAACTCAACAGCTCTCCTGTATGCCTTCGTTGAGTAGTGTTCTTAAGCTTGAAGTTGCCGTTGGGCTTAAAAATGCTTCTTGCTTGCCTAGATGAAGGATGGAGACATGGGTATGTGTGTTTCTATGTAGAAACCTCTGATTTGGGAGGGCTGCATTCCCTCCACTCCAGGCCTGGGGTACCCCACTCTTGATATAAAGCAAAAACTTTGCTCCTGAATCCTTCACTCTGTTGGTGGAGCCAGTGATTTCTTCTTGGGGGACACGGGGGTACGCATACCCCTAAACATTTTGTGAATCTTTGTACTTTTGTCCATTTACTGTATTTACTTTTCTCAATTTGAACTATAAAATGGTGATTTTCTTCAGTCAAAATGAGAGTACCCCTAAACATTTATTTAGGTGGAATTGGGTGGAACAATGTATTAACAGAAGGGGCAGCTGCAAAAGGGTGCAGAACCCTTTTCCCAGTAAGTGTCGGAAAGTTTTTTTCCAAAAGCACTACAATTTCTTTAAAGACTTTCCAATTTCAGCAAGCATTCTAAGGACATTTTCTGCTTTTATTAATAAGTTTGATTGATCTTATCCATTGCATGCTTTTTCAGTTTGATGTGCACCACTTAATTAAGCCATATACCGGTACAAATAGCTTAAATCAGAAGCATGTCTCACATCAGCGAGGAGTTGTGCCTTCAGTGCTGTGGGTCCAATACCCTCCTGTCAGAAACCAGGCAGGAACCATCCTTTGCTCAGCTTCAAATGGCAGATTAAAATAGTTTTATTTCAGGAGTCCTTTGTACCATGAATGCATACCCTCCAACATTTCTCTGATGAAAATAGGGACATCCTGTTCCATAATAATAACAAGAATGATTTTACTATTTATACTCAATGGGCGGCGCTGTGGTCTAAACCCCTGAGTCTCTTGGGCTTGCCAATCGGAAGGTCGGCGGTTCGAATCCCCGCGACGGGGTGAGCTCCCGTTGCTCGGACCCAGCTCCTGCCAACCTAGCAGTTCAAAAACATGCCAGTGCAAGTAGATAAATAGGTACCACTGTGACGGGAAGGTAAACAGCGTTTCCGTACGCTGCTCTGGTTTTGCCAGAAGCAGCTTAGTCATGCTGGCCACATGACTCGGAAAAACTGTCTGCGGACAAACACCAGCTCCCTTGGCCTGTAAAGCGAGATGAGCGCCACAACCCCAGAGTCATTCACAACTAGACTTAACTGTCAGGGGTCCTTTGTTGTTGTTTAGTCATTTAGTCATGTCCGACTCTTCGTGACCCCATGGACCAGAGCACGCCAGGCACTCCTGTCTTCCACTGCCTCCTGCAGTTTGGTCAAACTCATGCTGGTAGCTTCGAGAACACTATCCAACCATCTCATCCTCTGTCGTCCCCTTCTCCTTGTGCCCTCCATCTTTCCCAACATCAGGGTCTTTTCCAGGGAGTCTTCTCTTCTCATGAGGTAGCCAAGGTATTGGAGCCTCAGCTTGAGGATTTGTCCTTCCAGTGAGCACTCAGGGCTGATTTCCTTCAGAATGGAGAGGTTTGATCTTCTTGCAGTCCATGGGACTCTCAAGAGTCTCCTCCAGCACCATAATTCAAAAACATCAATTCTTCGGCGATCAGCCTTCTTTATGGTCCAGCTTTCACTTCCATACATCACTACTGGGAAAACCATAGGGGTCCTTTACCTTTACCTTTTTATCTGACTGGGTGGCCCCAGTATATAAAAACATAATAAAGCATTAAACATTGAAAACCTTCCCTATGCATGGCTGTCTTCAGATGACGCGGGGGTCACATAACTCCATACCCTCCAACATTTCTCTGATGAAAATAGGGACGTCCTAAGCCGGGAAAGCAGGACATTCTGGGATCAAACCAGAAGGTGGCTTCTCTAAATCCAGGACTGTCCCTGGAAAATAGGAGCACCTGGAGGGTGTGTGAATGCTGTTCTTGTGTTCTATGTTTTGATGTTATAATCCAGGGGGCAGCAACCTTTTGCAGCCTTGGGCTGGTCCTCCGTTCCTCAGACCATGTGGGGAGCCAGACTATATTCTGAAGGGGAAAAATGGACGAATTCCTATGCCCCACAAATAACCCAGAGATGCATTTTAAATAAAAGGACACATTCTACTCATGTAAAAACACGCTGATTCCCGGACCTTCTGCGGGCCCTATTGAGAAGGCGATTGAGCCGCATCCAGCCCACGGGCCTTAGGTTGCCTACTCCCGTTTTAATCTGTGCTTTAAAGCTTGTGTATTAAATGTTTCATTTGCTTTTGTAATCAGCTCTGAAACTTAATATTTCCAAGACCAACAACAACAGAACGGTGGCAGTAGTTGTAATGATGATAATAATAATAATTCTTGCACGTTTTTCCAGGTCTAGTCCATACTCCCAGGAGATGTATCCTCCACAGTATAGAGATGATCAAGATTCCTGTGACGACTATGGAGCATCAGTGTGTTCCGAGCCATCATGTGCTCCATCGGGAGCATCATATGACCCCTGTGACTCTGTGAGCTCCAGCTCTGCGGTGGACTGCTGTGGTACATCATCGCAGCAATACTGTCCCCCTGCACAACAGTATTGCCCTCCTGCTCAGAAGTACTGCCCTCCAGCTAAGAAGTACTGCCCTCCCACCCAAAAGTACTGCCCTCCTGTACAGAAGTACTGCCCGCCTCAGCAGAAATATTGCCCCCCTGCTCAAAAGTACTGCCCTCCCGCTCAAAAGTACTGCCCTCCCGCCCAAAAGTACTGCCCTCCTGTACAAAAGTACTGCCCACCTCAGCAGAAATATTGCCCTCCGGCCCAAAAGTACTGCCCTCCGGCCCAAAAGTACTGCCCTCCTGTACAAAAGTACTGCCCACCTCAGCAGAAATATTGCCCTCCGGCTCAAAAGTACTGCCCTCCCACCCAAAAGTACTGCCCTCCTGTACAAAAGTACTGCCCACCTCAGCAGAAATATTGCCCTCCCGCGCAACAGTACTGCCCTCCCGTCCAACGGTACTGCCCTCCAGTCCAACAGTGCTGCCCTCCAGCCCAGACATGCTGCCCACCGCCTCAACAGACCTTCACACCGGTTGGAGAGCCCGAGATCTGCCAGATACAACAAGTCTGCCAAGCGCCACCACATCTTCTGAAGAAGTAGCTACGACTATAGATAAAGGCAAACGGGCTCACGAGGACATTTTTCATCTGTCTAGAAATGTTGTTCCTTTCCTTCCTTCTTGTGGTCCCCATGACCCCTGTGCCCTCTAAGGCAGGAAGACCTTTGTGGTTAATTCCCGGTGGTATAAATTCAGCACACAATATTCTGTGTGCTTCCTTAGTAATGATTAGTCATTTGCTCCCAATGTATAAGGTCAAATTCATGTGCACCTACGTAGCTGCATCTTAAGAAATTGATCATTTTGCTCCACCTTCCTGGAGAATTCGGCTGCTTTCAAGCCCAGCGGTCTATCAGAAACGTGGAAAGACCTTTTGATTTGGCTTTTACCTGCTGAGATTGAACCAGTGTAGTGGCATTTGCTGAAGGCCACACTGAAGTATGGGACTCATCCGTGGCATGCGGTCAGTGGACTAGGGAGACTAGGCTACTCCCCTAAAGGGTCCAAGAGCCCTCCCACCACCTTCCCAAAATCCACCCGACTTTGGGAAGAAGGCAGCAGGGTTCCAGCATCTTGTCAGAGGCCTGCCGCTTCCTTCCCAGAACTCAGGAAGCTTCTGCCTGGCTTAGGGAGGGAGGTGCAATGATCACACATGTGACGTCACACACACACACACCATCACACTCGCAAGCTGGCCTTGCTCTCCCATGAAAAATTTCACCGCATGCCACTGGGACTCATAGTGCATAAGCTACTCCACACACTGAAGCATGGGTTTCGTAGTCCTTACAAAATAATGTATTCTTGCTCATGGGAAATGTTAGCATTTGCTGTCCTTTGTTGAAAGCTGATATTTATTGGAGATATATTATTGGTTCTGATATTTATTGGAGATCTTTTGTCTAGACTTAATTTACTGTTACTATCCTCATCCTTTGAACAAGTATGCATGCAACAAAATAAAAGCACTTCCCAAAAAAAATTCCATCTCTCCTGGCTCCTTCAGTTCTCTCCAATTTTTCTTTATGTTTTTATTTAGATTAATGATTCAGTTTTGATTAAAAAGGTATCCGATAGTACTCTCTGTATCCCCCCCATTCTAATAAAATTTCTTACAAAGTTATTTTATTAGAATTGAATGTTAAACCACTCTGTGAGGTGTAACTCTGCAAGGAAAATAAGAGGAAACTTCTAACAATTCTCTCCTTTTTTAAAAAAAAAAAATAGTTTTTATTAAGTTTTTAAATTATACATCTCAAAATAAACATTTTACATAATACCATATATCCAATGACTTCCCCCTTCTCCCTCCATGGTTCATTTAACTTGCTTATCATTCCTGCATATTTTGCTGTAACCATTCTAGTCTGTTCTCCAATTTACATCATTCAAATATTAAACACGCTGTTGAGTTAATGCTGCTAGTGTCTTCAGCTGTACAAAAGTTGTTTTCCAAATACTCACCAAAGATTTTCCACTCCTCTTTAAATAAATACACTTCTTGCTCACTTATTCTATATGTCAAAACTGCTAGTTCTGTAAATTCTATCATCTTGAGTTGCCAGACTTCCTTACTTGGAACTTCCCTTACTTTCCATCTTTGGGCTAACAAAATTCAAGCCACTGTTGTTGCATACATACATATATATATATATATATATATATATATATATATATATGGTAAAGGTACCCCTGCCCGTACGGGCCAGTCGTGTCCGACTCCAGGGTTGTGCGCTCATCTCACTTAAGAGGCCGGGAGCCAGAGCTGTCCGCAGACACTTCCGGGTCATGTGGCAAGCGTGACAAAGCTGCTCTGGCGAGCCAGCGCAGCACACGGAAACGCCGTTTACCGTCCCGCTATAAAGCGGTACCTATTTATCTACTTGCACTTAGGGGTGCTTTCGAACTGCTGGGGGAGCAGGAGCGGGGACCGAAAGACGGGAGCTCACCCCGCCGCGGGGATTCGAACCGCCAACCATGCGATCGGCAAGTCCTAGGCACTGAGGTTTTACCCACAGTGCCACCCGCGTCCCACGATATATATATATATATATTGTATTATATTATATATATTATATAAATTTATATACAGTGGTGCCCCACAAGACGAATGCCTTGCAAGACGAAAAACTCGCTAGATGAAAGGGTTTTGCGTTTTTTGAGTCGTTCCGCAAGACGAATTTCCCTATGGGCTTGCTTCGCAAGACGAAACGTCTTGCGAGTTCTTGCAAGTTTGTTTCCTTTTTCTTAAAGCCGCTAAGCCACTAATAGCCGCTAAGCCGCTAATAGCCATGCTTCGCAAGACGAAAAAACCGCAAGACGAAGAGACTCGCGGAACGGATTAATTTCGTCTTGCGAGGCACCACTGTATATGGGAACTTCGTTCTGAACTATTCCTAACAGAAAGACCTCTGGTCTTTGGGGAATGTTGTTGGGAATCTTTTCAACTCATTATAAATCATTTCCTAATATTCTTTAACCTACTCTGGCTTCTCCTCAGATCGTATAATCTTTCACCTTTTACACCTAACAATTTTCAGGACTCTCTTAAGGCCACACCCTCTCCCCAGCCATACTCGCTCTCCTAAAACCACCCTCCCCCACCAGCAAAACTTCACATCTGCCTTGAATGTATTTGCCTTACTGGAATGCGTCCTTGAATTTTGACAATGGATGGGTCTACACATGTGGGGTGTGTGTGTGTGTGTGTGTGTAACCACACTATAAATAAGTCAGAAATTAAATCATTATATCAAAAGGGGGGAAACCGCTATGTAAAATTGCATAGAAAAGTTTTTTGCTCTGCAGCGCCATCTGGAGTCTCATGTTTACAATGCATTCAAAACACTGCTTTTTGACTAATGTAGATGAGTCCAATGTCTCTTGCTTGCTTGCCTGGATGGTGGATGGGTGCGTGGATAGAAACTAGTCTACTGTACAAAGGTACAATCTACATTCACGGCTCTGCCCACTTTTGCCCTGCCCACCACTGGTATGTGGTCAACAGAAAGTTTCCAAGAATAGAACGCAGCCCTCAAAAATATGGTTTCCCGCCACTGCTTTACATTAAGAACTGAGCTAGAAAAAGCGGAAACTCTTCTCTTTGCAGCTGCCTTTTGGGATATTTTTTTTCCCCAGGGGCTGGACACACTGCGTCCAATTCTGGCTACATTAACATATTGGACTTTCCCACTGATTTTTTTATTTATTTATGGGTAGCTCTCCCTTCCATTCCTGAAGATATTTTAAAACTGCTTCTTGGGATTCAGTTACAATAGTAAAAAAAAAAACCAGTATTTTGAATGCGTTATAAACATGCAACACCAGATGGCACTGGAGAGCAAAAAAAAATTCTATAGGAATTTGCATAGCGATTTTTTTCATTTGTTATAACGATTAAATTTCTGATTTATTTATAGCGTTTTTTTCCTGTGTGTAGATCCACCCTCAGTCAGAACAGGAAGTGACCCATCCAAACAATGGTTCGTATATGTGTGTCTGTGTGTGTGTGCGTGTTACACACACACAAACACAGTGCTACTTTTCTAGAAAAAGGTGCCAGAACTCACCATGAATGCCTCCCTTATTTTATTATAATGCCAATGGCGCCCACCTGAGAGATGCCAGAACTGAATTCTGGTGAGTTCCAATGCAATTTCCTTGAATTGGGTCAGTTCTGGAAGACAATTGCATTATAATGAGTTGTTTATGCTCTGGTAACTTCAAGGTTAGATTACTGCAATGCGTTTTACGTAGAGCTGCTTCTGAAGATGGTTCGGAAAGTTCAGCTGGTGCAGAATTCAGTGGCCAGGTTGCTCACCGGAGCAAGACAGTTTGTGCATTTTGCACCGATCCCAGTCTGACTGCACTGGCTACCAATTAGTTTCCGGGCCCAATTCCAAGTGCTGGTTTTGACCTATAAAGCCTTAAATGGCTCAGGACCGCAATACCTCAAGGACCTCCTCTTTCCATATGAACCTACCCAGACCCTGAGATCATCTTCTCAGGTCCTTCTTCATGTGCCTCCTCCTCGAGAGGTCCGGAGGGTGGCAACTCGAGAACGGGGCCTTCTCTGCAGTGGCTCCCTGTTTGTGGAATGCTCTCCCCAGGGAAGTTTGCCTGGCGCCTTCATTACACACCTTTAGGCACCAGGCAAAAACGTTCCTTTTTAACCAGGCCTTTGGTTGATCTGTTTGACATCCTATACCCTTTTAAAATGCGGCTCTTTTCGGGGTGAGGGTATTATTGGCTTGTTGTTATTATTCTGATTATATATGTTGTGATCCTTTCTGATTATATATGTTGTGATCCTTTCTACCACAGGGTGGTGTATAAATTCAATAAATATAATAATAATAATAATAATAATAATAATAATAATAATAATGTGTGATGCCCTGGAAGTTTCCCCCTTTGCTGCAATTTTCTAGAGTAGAGATCTGTAAGAGTTCAGCACAGCTTGCTAGAATGAGCACTTATTCCAGAAAGGCCAATCTGAATGAAGGAGTGGGAGATGTAGGGCCATGTGTCCTTTAGAGATAGGGCCACCTGGGTCCCCACATGAGTCATAAGACATTGATTCAGCACTTCAAGGGTTGTGTAGAGTAGCATGGGAATATCTAAGCTATCACATCCCTTTCCTGTCTGCTGTATGTTATGACTACTTCAGACACTCCAAGTGTCAGGGAATGGTCTGAATCAGAGGACAAGCGTCCACTTGTTATGGTTTTAGTCTTGTTTTAAATATACTTCTTGTTCCTGTGTTTAAACTTCCCTTAATTCTCTTTAGTGTAAATTGCCTTTGAGATACTCGTTTAGAAAGTGATTAATAAATCAACGAAGGTGATAATAATAATAGGTAGAAATATCTGGTTTTAATCTGGTCATGGGGCTCCATTTGGTGTTATACACACACAAACACACATACACACACACACCCCTACGTGGTTACAAAGCACGGATCCACATGGATTCTCAGGATTGTTGCATTGGGCTACCCCAAACTCACCATCAAATCACATGTCTGTGGCCACAGCATGAA